TGCCTCTTCCTTCTTCCTGGTAATTCAAAATTTGCTTCATCACCATCATCTAAATACTCATCTTTGCTTTCATCCCAGTTTTCTATTATTCGTGCTCTATCATTATAAGTAAGCACCCTACAAGTAAAAATTTAGGCWTAAATGCATGGTATTGCAAATGTGCAATAAAACATTATAACTCTTGAATAATATAATTCGTGTGAAGACCGAATTTGTTATTATGGCAGGAAACTGTCCAAATTAATTGGAAATACTTACATTTTATTATACATTCCCAATAATTCACAAATTAATGAAAATTTAGCACTGTATTTTCAATATATCAGAAAGAGGTTTACTCTTTACTACGTATATTCACAAAAACTCAAAAATATTTGGGAAACTGTACTAAAGGGGAATAGTGATAAGGTACAATTTTCATTTGCCGAAAAAATAACTGTAAATTAAGAAACGATATAGCTGCCAGATCAACGAGAAGTTAACATTGCATATATGCAATGCTAAGCAACGAAGGGTTAAACTTTATAAGGGAATGTTTATTATCATTCGAAAGAACATTCTTTGGCATTTATTTTTTTAAGAAGGTTCTTCTGTTCAGTCGGTTTTCGATGACTAGTTTGTGCATTTCGACTGGTAACTTTTGAATGATAAGCGGAATATCTTGCTCAAAGGCCTGAATCGAAGCAGGATTGTTCGCACAGACTTTATACTTTACACACACAGGAAAAATTTTAATGGTGTGATATCACGCGATCTTGATGGCAAATCGCACGGCTCAAAATGTGAAACCATCTGCTCACCGAAGTGTTCTCTCAATTAATTCATTGATTTATGCGATGTGTGAGAAGTAGTGCCGTCTTGCGGAAACCAAATGTCGCCGAGATCACGAGCGTCAGTTTTCAGGCATCTAATAATCGGTTATAATGGTGCGATAACGGCCGCCAGTGACGGTTACGTGTTCACCATTTTGCATTTTTGAAGAAATTCCACCGGTTCAKAAACCACACCAAACCTTTGTTTCTTCTGGATGAAATGACAGCTCTTGAATCTTTTCAGATTGCTTTTCTACCCAAATGCAATGGGTGATGGTGTTGCGAATAGTCCGCTCGGTATGCCGATTGTGTTGGCAATGCCCGAGCAGAAGAAACATTCTTCACAGAACGTGAAGGTTGAATAAATTTTATTAAGTTGTAAAATACCGAATTTCAAAATTTGCTATTTTATGGAACTCACATAAAAATATATTTAAACGAAAGCAACTCATTTGGCGGTAACGCCAATATTTAAAACTGAAAATGTGTATTCTATTGCTCAAAATTTGCATTCTCTCAAATTCGTATTGCATTTGATTTTATTTGGTTTTATGCAGTRAATGCTTTTGTGGAATCTATTATTTTATGCTGATCGAGAGAAAAGCTTTTCAAGTTGACGCTCTCTACGTAAAAAATCACGCATACACACACACACATTTACAGTAAATCAATCGTTTCGTGACAAGATATATCAATTTATCTCTTATCTGCTCCTCTTTCGTATAAATGTTTTATTCATGTTCGTTGCACGGGTGTTTATCGCAACGCTCACATTTGCTTTTAAATGATTTGCCGGCAATAAATAAAAGCACAAGTGAGTGTGAAAACTAAATAAAATGTGAATGAAAGAAAAAAAAAACAATTTTATAAAATGTATGTRTGCATGTGTGTATTTATTTATTTATTTATCTCGCTGAGGGCGCTCAAATGAGTAGTGATAAAAAATAAATGCGTAAAGTGCGAAAATAATGTGAAAGCGTGGAAATAGACGACAAATACTCATACGCAATACAATAAGAAATAAAATAAACAAACGTCAAAAAAGAGGTGTAAAATAAAGTACTCAATGTAAATACACGGTTTTGATAAAAATAAAGTTACGAGCTCAAATAAATTAATACATGCGCAAAACTGGAGAGGAAAACCTAAATAGAAGATTAGCAAAAAGTCCTACATATTCACTTCAATTATAATTACAAACTACAACCACCAAAATAATGCCGGAAGCCACATCAACTTTTCCTTTTGTGTACACACCGGAACCGCCTAAGAAGGCGCCYATCATAAAACTCTCATGTGGCATCGGCGATACGGACGGATTTCCCGCCTTTGATGTCGACTCGGACGCCTATGCGGCCAAAGATGATCCCAAGTGGGGTTTTCTAATCACAGGCGGCGCTGAGTTTCACATGCCGTTGACCGTATTTCAGGTGAGCGACGCATGTGTTTGTTGCTACTGCCTACTTATTTATGTGCATTCATAAATTATAGTTGAGGTTTTCAGTGTGCTTGAATGAGAATTGAGAGAGAGCGGTGGATAAAAGCGTGTGTRCATTTTAAATGTTTATTTGCTTTATTCTTAAACAAACAGATGTGTGCTTTTGCACGTATTTTTRAGTAAAGAAAGAGGTTTATCATGGAAAGATACTTTTTATTAAAGGTAAATACGTAAAAATAAAATGTGAATAATCAAAAGCTACAAAGTTGGGTTGTAAAATATACTTAATTAGGAACTTCCTTCAAMTGCATTCTTGCAAACTTGGATCATCTAGTTATGCAGCCTTTGTAAGAATGAGGGTGAAACATCTTGGCAGTATTACCTTCATCAAGCCCGAAAACATAGCTAAAAACCGGCCTTCGCCGTCCGTCTCAACAAATTTTTGATAGGCTCAAAGCGCTTTGTCAATCCGGGAGGCATATTGATCAATTATATAGAMGTTTTAGATATCACAACGGACCTGCGCTCTAAGCTGTCTATGTGAGATTTTTGTTAGAAATGATCTCATAACTTAACTTAACCTTTATAATAATATTCACAAGTGTAATTTTTAAAACAAATATGGGTATAAAAAGATTTGTATCTTGATTTTCATCTATAAAGATCTGACCTGAACAATGTTTTAGAAGATTGTATTATGAAGAAATGTGTCAAGTAAAAAAAAAAATCCTTTCTGGAAATTGATTTCGGTCAGTTAGCCACACAAACTACAGGGTTTTCTAAGAAGAGTGATATGAATGCTTAAAAAAAACACACATTATTTGTTAGAGAAATTCAAATGTTTTTTTATTTCATGTGAAGTACAATAGATTCATGAAGTTCTGAATATAACATAATGCAAATGGCATTCACGAATTCTTTAGCAGCAATAAATTCGATGAACTCAATTTTCGAGTAGCTTTTAAACTAAATCAAATCATATGTCGCGAATAGTTTATTGCTAAAGACAACAAAAAGAGTCAAATGGTGTTAAATTTCAACTTCTTGAAGATCCATCACCATTTCTTGAAATAATCGCAGCTCCAAATTTTTTCGCTATAATTCGTTTATTGCACGTGCTGTGTGGCASATAGCTCCGTCTTGTTGGAACCATATGTTGTCAAGATCAACTTCTTCAAATAGTCGCCATAAAAAGTTGGTTATCATCGATCCATCTAACGGTGTCATCAGCTTCTTTTTGAAAAAGTACGGACGGATGATTCCATAGATCAAAAGCCTCATGAAACTGTAAATTTAGGTTAATGCAATGGTTGCTCATGAATAATTTGTAGATTTTCTTCGCACCATAATCGACAATTTTATTTATTTACTGCATCATTCAGATGAAAGAAATCATCGGAAAAGATGATTTTCTTAAAAAAACAAAAAATAGTTATCGTTTTCAAATTGTTCAAAGCAACAACAGCAATTCATGACATTTCCGGTGGTCCAATGGTTTCAGTTCTTCATTGAGAACAGTTTTTTTGAGCTCGAAATTTTGAACTATTTCATGAATAGGGAGCATAGGTGGATAGTCGTACGACCATAAAATGGTAAAGGCGCACGAAAAGTTGTAATTGGAGAACAATTATTTTGATAATAATATTGAATAATTTGTAAAGGTTGTTCTAGCGTACATCTTTCTACGATAAAAAAGACCTTAAAAGACCTTAACTTCGGAAGCTAAATACCCTTCACAGGTGTATTTCTGTTAGTAACTATGTGCTCAGTTTGTATGGAAGCTATATGCTATAGTAAACTGTTCTGAACAATTTGTTTGGATATTATATTGTTACCGTAAGCAGTAATCCATGCCAAATTTCGTAACGACACGACGTCAAATGCGAAACTTTTCCAT